CAGAATTGCAGTGACGCACGAGATCACCGCATTGCACTCCAGACTGGGGTGACAGAGGGAGACGTCATCTCAAAAAAAAGAAAAAAAAAAAAAAAGGAAAAAAGGAAGGCCATGGGATTTGGGATATTATGATCCGATTTACAGGGCTAGAAGAAAAATAAAAGAAAATATTAAATAATTGTTTAATATCACTGTAAGAACATTATTATTTTCATTATTTTGTCTCATCCATGTCAGAACCAAAGCAAATAAACTTTGTAATAATGGGGATTAGTCCCATAGTACAGAGGTCCCCAACCTTTAGTGGCACCAGGAACTGGTCTCATGGAAGACAATTTTTCCACAGACCGGGGTGGGGGAATGGTTTTGGGATGATTCAAGCACATTACATTTATTGTGCACTTTATTTCTATTATTATTACATTGTAATAGATAATGAAATAATTATGCAACTCCCCATAACGTAGAATCAGTGGGAGCCCTGAGCTTGTTTTCCTGCAACTAGACAGTCCCATCTGGGGGTGATGGGAGACAGTGACAGATCGTCAGGCGTTAGATTCTCATAAGGAGCACGCACCCTAGATCCCTCACACGTGCAGGTCACAACAGTGTTCGTGCTCCTAGGAGAATCTAATGCTGCAGCTGATCTGACAGGAGGCGGAGCTCAGGTGGTCATGTGAGCAATGGAGAGCAGCTGTGAATGCAGATAAAGCTTTGCTCCCTCGCCTGCCCTCTGCTCACCTGCTGTTATGCAGCCCAGTTCCTAACAGTCTACAGATCGGTCTGTGGCATAGGTGTTGGGGACTCCAGACATACAAGGAAGAGCCACTTTGGTTGACAAAAGGCTAAACTAGAAAGCAGGTGCTAACCACGGCCTGCCAATTTCATGGGATGGAATGAACCCCGCCTGCACTTCCCCAACACACGGTGGTCTGGGTCCACAGGCAGCCGTGTGCTCCACCTAAGGCCGACTGCTCCTCCCACTGCACACTCTTCTGACATAAATGCCATATCTGATAACAAAGACCTCTGCTGCGAGGATATGTTTAAATGAAAGAGCACAGTAAATGCATGAATAAATACAAGCATATGGGTGTAAACTTCTTATACATGATGCAGAAACGAGCAAGTGCATTCTGAGCATCTTGGAAGAGATTTCATCTTTCACAGTATGCAAATGCATTTTGCTATGACATTTTCTATTTTTGTAAGGATGATCTTCATTACTACATTTATGATATGAACTACAAAATTGTGTATCTGTTTGAACAAGAACATATACATAATTACTCTGTGGAGATATTTTCAAAAGTGTCAAACTATGAATTAAAACACTGGCACTTTTTTTAAGGCTTCTTACATGGTTCCAAAACATGCCATTTACAGAATGAAGGCTTGGTAAGATGGATGAGAACATTTGTATGGAACAGTTTCTAAAACATCAGTGATTTATTTTATTTAAAGCAAGCTTGAGCTCTGGTTATATTACATAGAAATTCTTCTTATGAGGGAGAAACATGTAGCTGTACAATGAAAACTAAAGTAATTCAACTGCCCTCTCTTTTCTGAGGAAAAGGCCTTGTGTGGCTGAGATGAAATCCACAATTCTTCGAAGACAACACAAGCAAGAGCTCCATCTCTGCCTAAAGTGAGCAGTTCAGCACTGCTCACTGACCTCCCGGCCCTTTTGTTCAATGACTGCCAAGCACCCTCTCCTTCTCTTACGAAAAGTCCGATGGGTAACTGGAGATGGCACAGTCCAGCACAGTGTGCTAATTCACTGGACTTCTACCAGGTCAGTAGAAAGTTTAGCAATGTTCCTTTCCTCTAGAAGGCAGACAGATCTCCTACCTCTTCCGGGAGACACAAATGTACAGAGCTACCAAGGCTGCAGGCGGGACACTAGTAAGAAGCTATCAATGTTTGCATCTGACTAAATCAAAACAGAACCCAGGGAAAACTGATTCCTTAGCTTGCTACAATATAATCTAACCTCAAAATTCTGTCTATATCGAGCCTTCACTGGGAAGAAACGTAACTAAAAGAACACATGCAATTCTTCCTGGACTCCAACAGATTCCTCAGCTCTGATGGTTCAATATTTTGCCTAATACCCTTCTAGCCTTTCTTACTAATGAGGTGCATCTCACAGTCTCCCACCTTCACAAGTGCAGTGAGACACTCCTGGTTTCCCTCCATGGCCTCTGCAGATGGCAGAGGGGGATTCAACCACTGAACCTCTAACTTCTACAGCTTTACACGTTTCCTATCGTGAGTGGGGTCCATAGAGATCATAGAGTCCAGCCCTCTAACTTTTAACATGAGAAAATGAACGTTTGAGGAGTGAAGTGAAGGGACTCACTCGCAGGGTGGGAACCAGAACACAAGTCTCTCTTGACTCTAGTTAGGCTTTTTCCAGCATTCCCTGCTGGAATGCTAAAACCAAACAGTCAAACAAATAAGACATTCTGCACAACAAAAAGTAGATTCTGTGTTTTTGCTAGTGTTTTTGTGTTTACCTCTGAAGAGATTATCCAAGTCAATATCTTCTTTTCCTTTGATTTTCAAACACTTTGCCTGCTGTACAAGTCTGGGCAAAGAACAGAAATAAAATCTAGATTCATTATCCTGTGAGGTAGGAAGAAATCATGAGAGCAGCACAAATTTAAATAGAAACTGCAGGGTAAACAATAGTGAATTGGCAGGTATTTTGCCGCACAGAGCCTTGTTAGAATTTTAAGTTTAAGATTTTAAAAACACACTTCTGTTCAGAAACTCTGACTTTGAACCCTGAAGTTTAAACAGCTTTCCCCCCCTCATTCTATTACAGCAAAAAGTTTCGAAAACTCTCTGGAGAATAATCTCTTCAGATTCTGAGGAGGAGTTGGCAGGATGGTGGGTGATGGGATGGTAGGTAAGTAAATAATAATTGCTACTGATGACTTTGGGGCTCATTATTTTAATCAGAAGATTATAGACACTGTGCTCAAACAACTGTACAAAGTAATTTAGTTACATTGCTGAATGTCAGGGAATTAATTAACTTTTAAGATGCTGCGGTATGTACTATGGCCTAATTTTGTTATTCTTTTATCAGGGAACTTCATTAAAACTTGAGGCTCAGACTTTATAATGAATATGGAAGTTTCTACAATAAAACTTTTCCAGGGTTGCTAATTAGTCAGTAATTAATTTTAGGTAGATAAGCTTGTGAGGTAATCAAGTAATTTATTTGTATATATTTTAATGAAATTTATATCTTGCTTTGCACATGTATTTTCTTACTGTATTTGAACAGAAAGTCTCTCATTTCATTTTCACTGACAAGCATTTGAGTTGGTCATGGAAGTACTGTTTTAATTTCTGTGTTAGATGAGGAAACTAATTCAGTTACCAAAACCCTACGTAGAAACCTAAATGACTTACAGAATTGGAGATAATTGTATCTATGTTTATTTATAAGTTTACACAAGTATATCATGCCAGAAAGGTTCTATCAGTTAGATATCTCTTACTCATCAAGGCTTTTTATCAAAAAGACAAGAAACGGAGAAAATTTTTGTTGAAGTCCCAACTTTGGACTTTACCATAGGTCCTACAAGGCTACTGTGGAGCATACTAAACATATGTACTTAATCACCTGGGGGGCAATGCAGAGACAGCACATTCAGTGTGCGACAACCTGAGTTCACACCTAGGACACAGCCCCTAGGTTTGTGATCCAGAGTGAATATTTAAATGCTCAATCTTAGCTTCCAATCTGTTAAATGGACACAGTACCTGCCTCACTGGGTTGTTCAGAGCAACTAGTGAAATAGTATGTTAAAAACCAGTGTAAAAATGCTTATGCATCATGGACATGCATAAAAATGTGTGTAATATTCTCATCAATTCAATATGTATAATTTTAATTATATTCAACATATGTATCATCGGGATTTGTTTACATTCTTTTTTTGCCTATATCATGCTTTGATATTTGCATTCTTGTAGGAGAGAATATAAACTATAGAAAGGTGGCTTAAATGTAAGCAGTGAGTGTCTGGTAGAGTGCACGGGTCAAACAGGATGCTGGGAAGCACAGCACGTGTGCTAAGTAGTGCAGTGCAGCCATTTTGCAAAGAATAATTTGGGGCAGGGGAAAGAACAATTTCAGCTCTGCTTACATGATTTTTGGCAAATCTTTATTTTACAAATTTTATGAATCTTCAGGTTGATTTTCAAGCCATCTTAAAGCACCCTTCTGCAATATATGCTAATCAAGATCTTGCTTCTATCTCACAAAGTTAAAAAACAGAAGCCAGTCTGCCACATATAAAACTTTGATGGGTATTTTAAAGAACATTTTAAAATAAATCAAATAAATTTTTTGGGTTTTTTTTTTTTCTTTTTTCTAATGTGAAGTTCTTCAATTGGTCCTGGGTATATTTCAGTACAGTCTTGCTTTCAAATGATCACATCAGTAGGGAGATACGCCAGGCCAAACCCTGTGAGCAGTTCAGATCCAGTTAGCATTTCCTGGGAACTCCCAGGAGGTAGGCACCTACTAAGGACTCCTAGTCTTTTCATTCCCCATTTCGTTCTCACAAAAACTCTACAAGGTTGGGATAGTATTCTTGTTTTATAAATTGAGAGACTGGTCTCAGAGACATTCAACAACCTGCCCCATCTTGGGCACAAAGTAGGTCGATAATGGAGCCAAAATCAGGTCTTAATGGAGCCAAAATGAAGTCCAATCTCAAGTCTTTGGACTCCAAACCCAGGTTTCCTCCTGCTTTACACATCACCTTCCAATAACGTACAGTTTACTGGTTATTTATGGAAGGCATGGATAAAGGGAAGTCACAGGCAGAGACTTGACTGTTGCTGGGCCAGTGGGGTCTTAGAGAATGAAGAGGGGGGTAACTGATGGGTTTCTAAAGGTCTTGAGAATTAGGGTGGAACAGAACGAGCAGAAGTAACTTGGGATGGGGAAGTGTTCTGAGAACCCGAATAAGCTAATCGACTTATTTGGCTGAAGCACCATGCAACGGAAGGTAGCTTGACAGAATAAGCTGAAAGCAGCCATGGAGGGCCTTGCATGGGTTCTCGCGAGGATGTGGACTTCATCTTGTGGGCAGTGGGAAAAGTCACAGAGGAGTCTGCATCTCAAAAGAATCCACTGCATATAGACAGTAGATGTGTCTGAAAATGAGTAGGCTGGTCATGAGCCAAAGATTAATATTTCATTTATGTTTTGGCTAAAATAGTCTCAATCTCTGTCTAAATCTCCAGGGATGTACTACTGTTGCACCAATTATTCCTCCTGAAGCCTGGCCCATAGCTTTTATATAGTCATAATAGCTCCGGGCATCCTAAACAATCTTCAATGTATTTTATTAATAGCATTGCTGTTGCTGTTGCAAGTGTCAAGAGACCTGTGTATCTGTTTACACCTGATTTATTACATAAAGAGGTGCATATGACCTAAAGGCAAAAGCTGTCACTGTTACCCAAGACTCTTTGCTATCCATTGTTTTTCAACGTGCTCTTTCCTTAGGATTTTCTACTTGCGGTTGGAAGAAAGGGCCTGCATCTTCTCTTACCCTATTACTAGGCTTCCATTCCTCTTAACAAGACAATACTGTGCTCATTAAGTGGTAGGCCCTGAAACACATGCCTAACATGAAGGAGGAAATATTAATCCTCTATTTATGTGTTCAAAAAGACAGGTTAAGAAACTTGCTCAAAGTCACATAATAAGTAGAAGAACTAGGATTTGAACTTAATTCAGGTTAGTCTAACTGTACCTAGACACCTTCTAGAACAAGAGTTAGTAAACCATGCCCCATAAGTCAAATCCTGCCCATTGCTTTTTTTTGTAAACAAAGTTTCACTAGAACTCAGCCACGCTCACTTCTCTACTTACTGTCTAGGGCTGCTTTCACTACGAGGGCTGAACTGAGTAGTTGTAGCAGAGACCTTTATAGCTGGCCACACCGAAAATATTTACCATCTGGCTCTTTAGAAAAAAAAAAGCTCACTGACCCCTGTTCTAGAAGTTAAAAATATTTTAAAAAGGTCCATAAGTTCAAAAACACACACACAGCATACGATTGTCTTATCTGGGAAGCTGCTCCCCAAACTGCCACAATAACTGTGTTTAGTTATAACTTAAGGCTTAAAAGGCAGACACTGGGCTCTGACTCTTCTATTTTTAGGCAAATTCTCCAAACTCAATCAACATTTCTCTGAGATTTTCCTGCCTGCAGCTGTTGCATTCTGCCGAGATGATTTCTGCCACCAAAAGACTCATGACTTATTAGGGGTTGTAGACTTGTGCAAGGGCAGATTCTGCACAAAGCAGACTGAGAAAGGGCTACATCAGAGAGACAGAGGATGTGCTATTGGATCATACAACAGGAGGACATTTTCTGTATACAAGGTGGAAGATAGTAGAAAAAGCCTTCAGGAGATGAGTTTGAACTTGGCCTCAAAACAAATTTTATCGTAGAAAACACAGAGAGGGCCACTGCAGAAGTAGGGCGAGTGGGGGTAAGGAGAATTAGCGATGGGGTGTGGTGTGCAATGAGTTAAGACATGGAGCTGGGACAAATTATGGGGCCTGCACAAGCTTTCCATGTTCCCATGCATGTGTGTAAGTTTGAATATGCGAATTTATTTATTCTCAGTCAGGCAAAACGGACCAAGGGCCTGTGAGATTCTATCAATCTAAGGATTCATACGATATGTTTAGTTTGTAAATAAAAAGTAATGAACCCCTTCTAAAATATAGCAGTAAAAAGCATCAGCAAATAATAAGATCCATAATATTCATATGAAAATGTTTACTGCAGCATTATTTACAAGAGGAGAAATACTGGAAACCATGGTCCTTAAGGGAATGGTTGAATGAGTTATGGTATGCCTACACTATGGAATACAATGCAGTTGTTAAAACTAACGCATTGGGTCTGTTTGTGTTGATATGACAATTTACCCATGACATATTGTTAAATGAAATAAAACACATTGCAGATTAACAAAATGTTAATATAAATTATTTTAAAAGAGTGAATGTACGTTGATATGGTTAGGCTTTGCGTTCCCATCCAAATCTCATCTTGAATCGTAATCCTTATAATCCCCATGTGTCAAGGGAGAGACCAGGTGCAGGTAATATCTAAACCATGGGGGCAGTTTCCCCATGCTGTTCTTCATGGTAGTGAGTACTCATAAGATCTGATGGTCTTATTAGTGTTTGGTAGTTCCTCCTGTGTTATTATCCTTCCTGCCACTCTGTGAAGAAGGTGCCTTGCTTCCCCTTCACCTTCCACCATGATTGTAAGTTTCCTGAGGCCTCTCTAGCCATGCTGAACTGTGAGTCAATTAAACCTCTTTCCTTTATAAAGTATCCAGTCTCAGGCAGTTTTTTATAACAATATGGAAATGGACTAATACATGCAGATGTAGATACATACACATGTGCATACATGAACATCAAAAGGATACAGAGAGCAGGTGGCAATCTGTTAACCCTAGTGACCTAAGCATGCAGCATCAGAGTTAGGAGTGGAGAATGAGAAATTCTTAATTTCTTAAAACTTCTAC